GCTAGAGGACCAATGAGTAAAATATCCTATGATTTATTGATCAAATCAGGACACTTTTGTGAGGGAAAGTAGGTGCTTAACCTATAGCACTTTATGATTTCAGGCTTAGTGAAGAACTATTCAGGGCAAACTAGGCTGTCAGATCACCCTACCAATGAAGAGAAAGGGATGGGAAATGAAGTAAAGGAAGGAAGAAGGATATGATTGTAAACAAACAAACCAAACAAAAAAATACATGCTCACAAGTCCATTTCGGAGTCTCTGCTAACTGAGTAGGCTGTCTAAAATTGAAGAAAATTTTCTAATTGGACATTTCGTGGACAAAGCTTAAAAGCAGTTCTCTCTGATGCATCCATGGCACGACCAGGAGCATAGCATACTCATCTGCAAAGCCCACCAGCCTGCATGTTTCTGGATTTCTAGACATTCACATGTCAGGATGGTTTAATGTTGGTCATTCACTCCCAAGGCTTTTGGGACTTTGAGTTACTACTTGTAAACATAGGATGTATGTCTTCACTCTGGTGGATTTACCGTTCCTATTTCCTCCTGTTTCTTCTCTCCATGCTGCCACCGTTCTAGAAATACAGTATAACTGGAAAAACTTTCCCTTCCCATACAGGACCAGACCTGAAAAAAACTGAGAACTGAGTGCACCTTCGAGGTCCCAGACTCCCCTTTTATGACCCCTTCCCCAGACTCACAGGCACCTTCTCCAGGCACCCCATTACCTTGTTTGCTCCAGCCCCGTATTCTTTGGACACATTTTTCCTCTGAACTTCCTTGACCAGTGAATGCCTGTCCTCCTCTCATTGCTCTATGCGGGAGACATCAACTGATAAATGACTTGAGCAAGTAGGTTGTCACTCGTGCATCTTTTAGCCAATGCTCCAGTTTGTTACCCAAACACGACCCCTCTCATGTTGGGGAATATATGGAGGGACATACATTTTGGGACTGGTAGACTTTACATTTCTTTAAAAATCACACTGCGTGGATAACTCCTAGTGATGCCTTTCCTTGAGCAGAAACTGTTATCACTTACATGATTTCTCCTTTGAGACAACAACCACGGGAGCATCTCAATTAAGAGCCCATTTAGTCTTTTCAGGTAAGGCAAAGAGTTCAATTAAAGCTGTAACTGCTGAGACAGAGGAAAAAATGCTGGTCAATATTTTATCTTCACCTAGTTTTCCTTAGCCTACTTCTTCCTTATTTCTGTCTCCCTCTAGCTTCTCTTAGGCTAAGAAAGGAAAATTCTGAGCCCCTAGGCAAGTAGTGAATTGTATCCCTTCCCTGTTTGTCTATAATAAAGATGAGGCCCAGATTTGAAAATTGAAAGGAAAATAAATCTTCATCGTGAACGTCATCTTTCAATCAAAATTGACCTCTATCTCTTTTCCTGAACATCTCACCTGAGCAATCTTTTTCTTTTAGCATCAAGAAATTGCTGAGGAAAGAAATGTTAGATTTAGTTTTTAATTAACTTTGTCATTGATTTCTACATAACTCTATACGGGTCACTGTTCTTTAGTGAATGGGATTAATCTCAAAGATTAATGATTGTTCCCAGGATTTTTCTGGACCAGGTTCCAGATACTCTGTACTTCATTCTTCTCATTTCTGAACTCATTAGCTTACTCTGTTCTTCACCTTAAAACACACAGACACAGAAACATGGGCACATGCATATGTACCAAATGTACTTTCAGAATGAAAATATTGAGGAGAAAGGAAGATGATTATGCACTATATTTAG